ATCTTAATCGAAAATATGAATTCCTTCTACCTACTCCTTTATTACTACAATATGTTAGCTAATATTATTCACAAATTCAAATTTCAATTCGATTCAAAAATATAATTTCTGTTTTTTTTAACCACCCTAACGTTGATTTTCTGCCTATAGGTGCAAGGAGACGCACTTTACTTTGTCATTAAGAAACCTGGCTTCTGTATAATGTACGCAAGGAAAATGTATATCTGTATGTAGATATCTCTACCTAAATATTAATGAACAAATGTGTGTATATATGTATATGAATCAATTTAGAACTCACCTTAATAGTCCCACGATGTTGGCGCCAGCATACGGAGAGGACCTGTGGGGAATTGAGAGCAAACATACATATGTACATACATATATAAAGCAACCGCTGAGGGGCTGACACCTGCGCTGGTTGGCAATTTTGGTCACTCGCTCCTGTTGCGGGCAGTGAGCGGGTCAGTTAGCAAAACTACGCTTCGAAAACTCACAGTTAAATAATAGCACAAAATTTAATAAAATTTACGAGAAAAAAAAAAAATATTCAATAAAATGGAATGAAGCAAGACAAAGCGCGTGTAAATAAATGAACTAGATCAACAAGTGGCTATTATACTAAAAAAACTAAGACTATCAAAGAGAGGGGTTGAAAGAACCAAAAGAATGTGCAATAAAACTAAGGCCTACCCATGGCACAATAAATAGGTAGAAGCAGCAGGGTTGCAATTTTGACTTTTTTCTTGGTGAAAAATCTGAATTGTCAAACTTTGTTTACTTTCTATCAAAACAAACTAATTTGTCACTGATTTGTGAAATTGTGTTTTCATGCGAATTGTGCCGTGATATTTTTGTGAGCTGATATTAATTAAATTTGCGAAAAATTCAGAAATGGGAAAGTTCGTTTTGTGTAAAAATCCACTTCCTTTTTAAGTATGCTTGCAGACAAGATCATTAGAGCACGGATATAGGTGTCAATATTGCAATATTTTTAGAATGCAGAGTGACGATGGAGTCGAGTATGTTGCTTCCGATTTGGTTTCGGAACAACCATTAGATTTAAGCCCGAAAAAATTCTCAGAAGTGGTAAAAAGTGGCTCCTCAGGAACCACTGATGAATGTGTGGCATATACCAGTTGCTACACACACTGAGTAAGTTATCTGAGATAATACATGTATATACAAATACCCGTTTTTATGGTTTTCTCCACAAAAACAAAACGAATTTCTCCAGCCCTATAGTTTTGTACTGTGCAATGGAGTTGGAGATTGCCGACTTAAAAGCGCGGAATAAACAGTTGCTACAGGAAAACGCCAAACTAAAAGGTCAGTTACGCGAAAGTGCCTGTATAATGTCCTCCAGTCGGAAGATATTTACGGAAGGCCAGGTTCGAAAAATGATTGTAAAAGGTTTGTATAGGCTAAAGAAAAACTTTCGTAAAATTACTTTTATTTCATTTTCACAAAGACAAAAGTGTGCAATGGGCGTGGAAAGATATCTCCACCGCCATATGCCTTCACGCAGCTGGACCCCGAGCATACAGGCACCTTTACACAAAAGGTTTTTCACTGCCTAATGTAAGCACACTGCAAAGGTGGGCTCGCAAAATAAATGTTACTGAGGGTATAATAACCGTGACCTTGGATTTCATTCGCCAAATGCATGAGTATACTACCGTCGAAAAGGTATGCGTGCTGGCTTTCGACGAAATGAAGGTCATTGAGGCGTACGAGTATGAGCCTAACGGGGATTTCGTCAGAAAGCCGACGAATTATGTGCAAGTGGCGATGGCGCGCGGATAATGGAAATCGTGGAAGCAGCCAGTATTCTATGATTTTGATTGCAAAATCACCGTCGAAGTATTGTATTCGATTATTTCGGCACTGCAGAATGCTGGCTATCCTGTTGTTGCGATTGTCCGCGATATGGGGACTTCCAATCAAAAGCTATGGAGAGAGCTCGGCATTCCGACAGGTATAAATTTAATGTTCACAATGTATTTGTCTCCAAAACTTATGTATAATCATTTAGAACAACCCTGGTTTACCAACCCCACGAATCCGGAGGAAAATTTTTTGCTTTTGCGGATGCCCCGCACTTGTTGAAACTAATTCGAAACCACTTCCTCGACACGGGCTTCATTTGGAAAGGCGCTATAGTATCCACGCGCGCTATAGTAGACGTTATGAAGCACACATCTACGTCTGATTTGTCAATTACATTTAAGTTAACAGAAGAACACTAATCTGTAAAAGGGATAGGTATGTATGTTTATATATCTATTTTATAGCCGTATAACAAAACCATATCCATAATTAAACAAATTTTAGGTCGGCAAAAGGTCAAATTAGCGTCTCAGTTGTTTTCCCACACCACTGCGAACGCTATACTGCGCTGCTATACTATCGGGTTGGACGTTGCACATGCGGTTGAGACAGCTGAACTGGTTCAGTTGGTGAACGATTGGTATGACGTTCTTAACTCATCCGTTAAAACAATCGGTTATCCAGGAAAGGTAATGTTCTTGTATACTGTTGATAACTTAAATAAAGAAATGTATTATTATATTCGAATTATTCACTTAAAGGAACCATTTGGACTACAGATGGAGAAGCAGCGTGAGATTTTGGACCTGATGAACAGCTTTATGTCAGACATAATAATTAATGGCAAACAAAAGCTTGCAGTAATTCCAGAAAGGAGTGTTAATGACGAACAATGCGCTGACACAGTTGTACGACTACGTAACTACGAAGTACAACTTCACCTACGTTGCAGCAGGACGTCTAAATCAGGACTTTCTGGAACAGTTCTTCGGGAATATTCGAAGCAGAGGATCACCCTACACCGAAGGAGTTTCAATTCAGGCTCCGAAAATACATTTTAGGTAAATTTTAAAAAGGAACGCCGAAAATTTGGGAAACACAGGCAATGTTGAGCGAGATTCCACTGAGTGGCTCAACACGTCAAACCCTCAGATGTTTTGCAGCATTGCGTCGAATGAACCGGAAGTAGAAGTGTCGTGGCTAGAAGAGCGGAAGCAGAAGTGTCGGGAGTAGAAGAGCCGGAAGCAGAGGAGCAGGAAGTCGTCGAGGCTTTGAATGTTGCCCAGACCGAACATGATTCCGACGTTTTAAAAGGCGATGTACTGGAGTATATGGCAGGGTACATAATTCGCAAACAGCATCTCAGCGAGTACGAAGACTGCAGTGACGCATCATTCACGTGGGTCGACCAGGTTTCGAAGGGGTTCTTAAAAAAGCCTTCAAGCTTGGAGGAAATATCGCACTGCAAAAATCTTAAAGAGCGCTTACTAAACAGAGCGGCGCAGGTAGACCTTCCGGACAGCGTCAAGCAATTCTTTTTTAAATGCCGGATATTCTTCAGAGTGCGGCACTTAAACAAGCAGCTAAAAGTGCGCAAGGCGAAGCAAAACGTGACACGCTACAAAAAATTAAGTAAAATTACTCTTTGAATTGGTATTGGTAAGTATTTAAATATTTTAGTTCAAACCATTTGAACTTATTTTTGCCCATATTTTCATTTCAGAAATTATCTTCAAAGCACGGCTAAAGGTACTAAAGATAGTATTAGTTTGGTGAGTGAAACTGAAGGGAAACAATTTATTATGCTCTATTATGCATACTTCGCACAACTATTTCTATACATATTGTATGTACATATACATATACTATACATTTCTATTGCACTGGTACAAATGGTTGTGCGAAAATATGCGAAGTATGCATAATCAGACCTTTAGAATAAGTGTGAAATTTTTTCAATAATACAAACTTTGGTTAACTTAACGCTCAAATAACTTTTCAACAATTTACAATTTCATATCTAAATATAAATTTATTTATTTTCAGGTAAATACATATAACATTTTAAATGCCCTTTTAAGGGCCGCAAAAATATCAACAAATTGATCGAATTTTTTTACATATTAAAGGCCCTTTTAAGGGCCCCAAAAATATCAACAAATTGATCGAATTTTTTTACATATTAAAGGCCCTTTTAAGGGCCGCAAAAATATCAACAAATTGATCAATTTTTTTACACATTAAAAGCCCTTTTAAGGGACGAAAAAACTTTAACAAACGGATTATATTTCCTTTTAGTATAGGTAAGCTGGGCTGAAAGTTGACGCCGTTACAGCAAACGCGATGCAGAGGTAGCTGAAAGTATATTATTAGAAGTAGAAATAGGTGCGCTGATTCCTTTCAATATTGCGTGTAAATTCTATCACAACCAACTGCCGCTATCAGATAAAGCTCCATATCGTAGCCACGTAATACCAGTATGGCCGCCAAGAGAAAATAGTTAACCCAATTTAGGAGCACGCCAATTGTAGTGGTTGATATAGCCCATCCAAGATCCCGTTGTTATAGTGCTTGTGTTGTTTGTGGTGAGAGCAAAACTAGCTACAGCTTGTTTCACTGGAAACTGCCAAAAACTTGTCGCTGCGTTCATGATCATCCGCATCGCTAAGCTCGTTAATTGGTTTAAAATGAGTGCCATTCGAAGCGTCTTTATAAAAATCTAATAATATACATATGTATATGTTTGAAAGTTTATAGATGAAAAAGAATTATATCAATTTTTACCTTTTATTGCGCACACAATTTCATAGTTAACGTGAGGTGGATAGTCTTTAAGCAAATCAAGCGCTGTGTTACCTGCACCATCGATAGCAGAGGGATTGATACCAGCTTGCAATGGAACATTGAAAAAGTGCTGCCTCCTGCAGAGCAAGTCCCGAATTCGTAATAATGTTAACGTACACTCCAGCGGCTAGTAGCGCTTCTACTACTTTTTTGTGTCCANAACGTTTCAAATAAAGAACCGATGAGATTTTGCAAATTTTATGCGTTTTTTTTAAAAAAAAAGTTATCAAGCTCTTAAAAAATCACCCGTTACATGGACTGCGACGAAAGCTTTTGACAAAAAATTAAAAGGTTAGTTGCATGCATGGCATAACNTTAACGTACACTCCAGCGGCTAGTAGCGCTTCTACTACTTTTTTGTGTCCATTACGACTAGCTAAATGCAAACATGTTAGAGTAAAGAGATGTGTTGATGGCGAAATGGTCTATGGGGTGCACTCAGCTACCGTCCAAATTGCGCTGCTAGATCTAGTGCAGTTTGAAAACTATTGTTGCGGACAGTGGGGTCCGCATCGTAGGCAAGCAAAATGGCTAAAACAGTGTTTTGGCCGTGTTGTGCGGCACAATGCAGTGGAGTTTCATTATCAATAGTCTACAAATGAAATCAGATTAACTTTTGAAGAAAATTAAGAAAGTTTTGTCTCAAACCTGCATATTTTGATTAGCTGCTTTGGGTGGTTGCAGTAATAGTTGTTTAATTATCTCATCATGACCTGCCCATGCTGCTAAATACAATGGAGTTGAGCCTCTTATGTCTGGCATGTCTGGTACAGCATTATGAGCCAATAAAAGTCGCACGTTGTTGATGTGGCCATTCAGACATGCGTGGTGTAGTGGGGTATATCCATTAACATCTTGACTGTTTATACATGGACTGCGACGAAAGCTTTTGACAAAAAATTAAAAGGTTAGTTGCATGCATGGCATAACTGTGCCATGGTTGAATGTATGTAAATACAAGCTTATTTCAATTCACTATATTGGTAACACTTGGTTGACTTTATCTTGATTTTGGAGATACTAGTAGAAATAACGGATTTCTTGCAATTAGTCAATTATTAACAATTGTTGGTTATTGTTATTTACGCCAACAAAACATTTGTTTACTTTATGCTCAAAGTCTCTACACCCACTCAATGCCACGAAATATGTATGCCCTTCATTGAATAATCGCACAGCTTGAAACCTTTATAATCGTTTGAAATTACCATTTTGGCACACAAAATCGTATTCGCCATAACTTTCGCACGTATTTCCATTTATTAAAATATAAATTTCTTTTCCCAAAAACCTTTGGTGGCCGCATTTCTTGTTATTGCTCCACATTGCTCATATCTAAAAGTAATGAAACAATTATAATTTAGTAAAGTAGTTAGTCATATTCTGCATCTAATTGACAATATAAGACGTTAAAATGTCTTTTTAAAAGCTTATTAATACAATATTGAATCTTTTATACTCACGTTTTTTGCTTTGGCGTCCATTTTGCTTGCTTTGTGAATTCTCAAACTCTGTTTACATCGGCAAGTTTGGCTTTTCATTTTTGACACTTTATGTTTTTCAAGCAACAACAAAATACATGCAGTTGTTGTATTTGCTACCATGCTTCTACCTGTTTATTGTGCCATGGGCCTACCAGTTTTACGAAAATATTATACTAGAAAATAATTACATTATCTGTTTTTAAGTGGGTAACAACAATAATAAGAGTATTAATGTGCAAAGTCAATTCATTATTCGCAATTAAAATNTGTGCCATGGTTGAATGTATGTAAATACAAGCTTATTTCAATTCACTATATTGGTAACACTTCGTTGACTTTATCTTGATTTTGAAGATACCAGTAGAAATAACGGATTTCTTGCAATTAGTCAATTATTAACAATTGTTGCTAATTGTTATCTACGCCAACAAAACATTTGTTTACTTTATGCTACTTTATGTTTACTAGTCTCTACACCCACTCAATGCCACGAAATATGTATGCCCTTCATTGAATAATCGCACAGCTTGAAACCTTTATAATCGTTTGAAATTACCATTTTGGCACACAAAATCGTATTCGCCATAACTTTCGCACGTATTTCCATTTATTAAAATATAAATTTCTTTTCCCAAAAACCTTTGGTGGCCGCATTTCTTGTTATTGCTCCACATTGCTCATATCTAAAAGTAATGAAACAATTATAATTTAGTAAAGT